ATCCCCCTCCTCCCCCTCCCCCTCCCCCTGCCCAACCACCGAGCGTTGGGATTCCCAGACCTGACAGCAATCGCAATATGCCGGCCGCTCCCACCCCAGATGCCGCCGTCGACGGTGGTGGCGGTGGTAGTGGTGGTGGTGGTGGTGGTGGCAACTGCTGCATGCCGGCAGCAGCAGTGCCGGCGGCGGAGGCGGAGGAGGGGGGTGCCGCCAGTACGCCGCTGCTTGGCGGCGGCGCCAAAGGCTCCGGGAGGAGGACTTGGGGACTCGCCCCCGACGCCGTCGCCAACACCGGCGATTGCATCCGCTGATGTGCATGCCGCTGCTGCTGCTGCTGCTGCTGCGGTGGCGGCGGCGGCGGCAGTGGGGGCGGCGGTGGCGGCGGCAGTAGCCGTCTCTCAGGCGGCCCAGGGGTCGATGGCCCAATGGCAGTAGCAGTGGCGGTGGCGGCGACATTGCGAAAGCCCGGTGGCGGCGGCGGCGGCGGCGGCACGGAAGAGGAGGAGGTTAGCAATGGCAGGCCGCCAGGTCCATCGTGTGGGATTGTACGGCTGAGTTTTGGATCGTGGCAGCGCACCTGGACACCCACTAGGAGGTCCTTCCGCGCCTCCCCCTCCTCCTCCCCCTCCTCCTCCCCCTCCTCCTTGCCCTCCTCCTTGCCCTCCTCCTCGCCTTTCTGATGCCCCTCCTGATCCCCAGTGCCCGTACTTGCATGGCCCCCGGGCAGCAGCGTGGACGGCATGCGGACCAGGCCGCGCCACTCCTGAGGCCGTCAATATATGTCACATGTCATAGCAGTGTTTTTTAACAGGATAGCAGTGTTTGTTCTGGGAAATGTTTTGACAGCGAGAACGGGCATATTCGGGGGATGATGTCGGTCAGGTCACGATGACAAAAACAAACTTGTCGTTGTGGAGTACAACGAAACAAACGAACCAATCACAACGCCGTCCCAGGATGTTTGTAACCTCCTCCTCTCCCCCCCACCCCCGACGCGTCCATCCAATTTTTACTCCTCCTCACCTTGCCCACCCTCAGTGCCGACATGACGTCAGCCAGTTTACCGGAATCTAACCGAAATAACCGCTGCAGTGCGGTGATTGCCATGGAGTCCGGTGCCACGCCACCGCAACTGCCACCGCCGTACACGTCGTACTGCTCACTGTCGACGCCGACGCCAACAGCTGCTGTGTCCGTACGGGAGAAGAATGAGGCACGGCAGATTGCTCGGCTGTTGCTGCTACTGCTGTTGCTGCTACTGCCCAGGTGGAGGCAGTGGACCGGGCTGAGGATGCAACAGCTCCCGCCTTGGGGGTCGGCGAAGAGGCTGGTGCTTCGAACCCGGGGGTTCGTACAGGCTGTAGCAAGGTACGACGGTTGCTGATCCGATTCTGACTCCGGTTGCGGCGGCAGTCGAGGGTTATGGTGGTTGCGGTAGTTGTGGCGGTTAGTTTGTTGCCGCATGCTGAGTCCGTGCCCCACCAGGTAGCCCATGTACCCCACAGACGAGCGGTTCTGATGGAGGACGTGTCTGTACGGAAGTTAGTTGGTTTTGATTAGAAAATTAGTTAGTTGGCAGTACAGTTATCTAATGGAGTGGAAATATGGTGGCGTGATGGTGAGTGGGGGAGCTCATCCCGGGCCCTAATACCTTCCCGCCAAACAAAAGCGATGATCGATTTTCCGTGTTCGGCTCCAGTTCCTCAGCTGGCTTATTTGTCGTACATAGTTTTATCTGTGTGTGTATACTTCAAAATTCAGAATGTATGCATGGCCCTGAAGACATCCACTCTCTAACACTCCTCCCCATCTCTCTCCCCCTCTTTCCCCTTCCCCCTTCCCCTCTTTCCCCTTCCCCCTTCCCCTCTTCCAACCTCCAACTCTCAACTTCCAACCTCCAACTCTCAACTTCCAACCTCCAACTCTCAACTTCCAACCTCCAACTCTCAACTTCCAACCTCCATCTCTCAACTTCCAACCTCCAATTCTCAACTTCCACCCCCCAAACGAACTAGTCCAAGCGGCGCCTACCCGTTCATGTCGAAGATGGTGACCATGGAGGGGATATTGGACAAGATCATGTAGTCGCGCTGCAGACGCGCCGCCAGCTCCTTGCCCTCGTACGGCACATCAAGCTCCAACAACATGCCAGGAAAGAGGGAGCCGCCGTCGGGGGCAGTGTTAACGCCACCGCCGCCGCTGGCGCTGGCCCTGGCGCCGGTGTCGGCGCCGCCGTCGGCGGCGTCGGCTGCTGCTGCTGCTGCTGAGGCGGCGGCGGCGTCGGCAGTAGTGGCGTCGGTAGCGGGTGACGAGAACGAAGCGGGCGATGCGGATACGTTGACGCCGGATGGTGTGACATATCCTATGGGCGGTACGACACTGCTGGTGCGGAAGGCGAAGGGCGAAATCTGCAACACACACATATATACATACACGCACACACCCACACATCAGGTCGTGTGGGGGGGCTTGGGGTGGGGGTTGGGGTTGGAGGGAGACGGAAGAATTCCTCACCCACCCACCCATGCATGCTGCCGTTATACACGGCGGCTTCAGTTACGTCACCTTCCGTGCAGCCCTTATTACATACACATCACGTGTAGCATAGCAACACACCGCGCTTCCAGTTCTGAGAGTGGACACAGCAGAAGCCTTTTTACGGTTTTTGATGAGGGAATGACAGCCTTTGGTGCTCTTCTCTCAAAGCGCCCGCCCGCTCACAGTCGGTCACGAGGGGGAGCTTGCATGAGCGCGTGTATTCTACGATTTGGGAGAAAACCACCGAGGCTTCGGTCCAAGGTATTCAAATTACTTTTGGTTTTTTCCTTAGAGGGCATGCGGGGACAGCAGCAGCCAGGGACATGGGGGAGGGGGTGTTGTGTGGGGGGGGGCTGCCGGCACATTATTTGTTCCTGCTGCTGCTGCTGCTGCCGTTGCTGTTGCTACTGCAGCAGCCTGCACCTCCTCTATGTTTGCCTCACCCTCAGGCTCAAGAAGTAGCGGTCGCGGCCAAAGTCCCCCGGCACGAAATGCTTAGCGGTGGTCAGCTGCCCGGCGAGGAGACGTCTGCAGTCAACAGGGGGGTTTGGGGGGGGTGGAGCCGAGGAGCGAATGTGTTTCATCGTCTGGCGGGAGCAGGGGGACTTGTGTGGGGTGTGTGGTGTGGGGTGTGTGTGTGTGGAGGGCACTAGCCCGGTATGGAAGCTGCTTCTTGCTGTGGTTGTGGTTGTGGTTGTGGTTGTGGCGAGGATTTACGACGGAGGTCGAACAAACTGAGCAGCTGGGCAGCTGGTGGGTAGCAGTCGTGCAAGCTGCTGGGCAACGGCATGTGAGGACTCTCGAGATGAGAAGGCTGACTCCAGGTGTCCTCGGATATAGGGTCATTCTGGTAACCGCGGACACTTTGCTTGTAATGCTTGTAGGTTAGGTGTTTGTTTCTTTTTGTAAAAAGGATGGATGGATGGTTGGATGGGCTCGCACTCGCACTCGCACTCGCACAAGGACATACCAACCACCTAATGACCTCACCACAGGGGCACAAGAGGATCCAAATGGTGGGGAACTTACTTTACAGAGTCTTGGAACAGGGAGACCAGGCCCCGGTCGGAGCGGAAGCTTCGGGCCAGAAAGTCGAGCACCGCCTGCGGAAGCGAAGGTCACAAGTTTGGACTCGAACACCAGAATCCGGATCTGGATCCCGGGGAGTTCAACCTTGAATCTGGATTTAATATTAATATTTTTTTACGTGCTTAATAGCTCATATCATGTACTTCGGAGTCGAATTCCGGATTACATGATTCTAATAGAGTGGTGACAGAAGATGGATATTTAAGTTTAATCAGTTTGAACTCAAAATGTTATGTTCGCGCGGGATGATATGGATTTGCGGAATTTGAGAATTCCTGAATGTAACGGTAAAAACTATATATATTTATACTTATTAATATATGTATATGTATATACTCCTCTTTCCCGCTTCTCCCCCTTCTCCCCATTCCTCAGCACCCTAGGTGGGACCCGCAGTCCAGCGGCGGCCTGCTGCTCAGGTCATGGTTGCCGCCAGATAGTGGTTGTCTTTTCCTTCCCCTCCACTTCCCCCTTCGCTGGGCCCTCCGTAAGCACCTGCTCATCTACCAGTCCTAGGGCACGCAGCGCCGCCGTGTTGGCGGTCACGCAACGCAGAGAAGTAGAGCCATGTTCGTTGTTCATGACCAGTGTAGCGGCTTCCCTGACCCCGGGCGCCATGGACAGATGAAACGTGGCGCGCCCAGCCTTGGTGCCATCCCTGTCCTCCAGTCGCGTCGCCTCGGCAGCCGGTGCTGCTTGTTGGACCTGGCTGATGAACAGCTTGTCAAGTTGGACGGAAGCGGCCTCAGCGTCATCCAGGCTGATTGGCGTCAGCACGGGCACAGTCAGCACCACGACCGGTTGGTCCGCGTGCTGCAGCGCTGCGCGGAGTTGGCGCTCGTCCAGGACGGCCAACTCGCCTGCATCATTTGTTTGGCGATAAGAGATCGGGATTAAGTGTTATATGTTTATCATATGTATGTTTTAGATTGCTTGATAGTTTGCGCGTGGCGTGCGTTGGTATCAAAGCTTGGTCTGAAGGTCTTCATCGCCGCACCTGGCTCGGCGCGCTGCAGCAGCGCATCGATGGGACTGCGGGCATCGGTCGTAGAAGGGCCTTTTATGAGCCTGGCTAGTCCTTTTCCAGCGCGGGTCCAGCATGTGGCGTCTGTCACAACAGGCTCAGTTACGTATGCAGGAACAAATCCGTGTGCCCTTGTGAACACCTGAAGGCAACGGTGGTGCTTTTAGATACCTTCTGAAGGGTGATCCGTGCCATATCTTCCAAATAACGTCAAGTCCTGGGTTGGCGTGGGGCTTTGGGCCCGGTCTTCAGTACTGAGCACGCAACCCATGAGCCTTCTGCTCAAGTTATGCTCTCCATTAGCATCCTATTACGAAATTAATACCTATGCCACCAACAAGTTGTGCCCTTCATTTTCCGGGTCATGCATTACGATCTCGTACATACAGACCTGGGCTTAATCTATTGCCAACGCCGCGTGGTCTGTTATGAGAAATGTGCCAGTTATAACTCAGATAAAATATTTGGGTAACTAGCAGTAAGAAAACGAAGGGATGCCGTACGCTTTGGGTTACAGTCAAGTTTCTGTTTTCGACTACAAGTGAGGGTGACCATGCTTTGCGGTTATCTCAGCGGTTATACCATTTTGTAATTCCTGGTCAAAATGCAGTAGCTGTGGTCTGCATTTGTATGATTGAGACCAAGTTATTGGGAAAATGGGGACCATGCGAATATCGGCCAGCTTACTCAGCAAGACGGAGAAACCATGTTCAAGATATATAATATGGTTGCAAGGCTTTATTAATACAATATTTTACTCTCTGGTAAAAACGTAAGATGAAGAATGCTCTGCCTAAACAGAATGCCTTGGCAACGGTATTGGGATGCTCAGATGTTGTGCAAGCTGTGCTAATGATCACTGCGAATTCATGGGATTGAGGAAGAACAAAAGCGCTTTGAGATTGTAGGATCGCGCGTGGACCTCCATAGGATTACAACATACCTCACAAAGGCTATATCTTTACCATCAAGAGGCTCGCCACGACAGAGCGCTCTGCGTGCTTGCCCCCAATCCAGCCAAAATATCGATGCACCCCCCGGCAATAGCAAGGCATTCCGTGCCAAGCGGGTAAACAAGAATTCCGCACAAAGGCAGCGCGCTTACACGCAGGTACTGGCTGCCAAAACCCCCAGACCAATATATGACGCCAGCGACTACCACGAATGAACAGGCCAATGCCAGGTGGTGTGGTATTGGAGTTCAAGGACCGATTGGTGATTGGTTGGAAGCATACGCGTCAAGATGTCCAGCCAAACGGGTACCCGTCAGACGGCAAGCAACCAGGAATTCACATGGCGAAGTATAAGCATGGGAAGGGTCTGGCGGCCGAGCAAGCGGGCAGGAAGGAGGTGCTCCCGCATATCGCAATGTTTATCCCGCGTTCAGCGAATCGCAAGCTTACGCAGTTCAGGCTTTGCTGTTGGGCATTGGCAGCTAACAGAGCGCGTAAGGGACGGTGTTATATACCTAGGGAGGAGCGAGTATGCCCCTGCTGCGGCACTGATAGCCACATTGAGAATGAGAAGCACATTTTGTACGGTGTACGACAAAATCAGGTCTGATTTGGATTCCCCAGGCTTCGAGCACATGAAGGACGCTATGAAGTGGGAACCTGAACGCCTGGCAAGGATGCTGGAATGTACATGGTCCCACCGCAACTCTATCGTCCGCTTTGGTCGTTAGTATCCTTTATCACTTGCTCTGTTCGAAGTGCGAGGTAGGATGGTGCTTATGGGCGATCTGGCGGCCCTTGAGCCCTCGGCTCGTATTGGGGCGATCTGCAGGTACGAGGTACGCATCCCCACGACCATGTAACACACACACACACACACGCACACACACACACACGCACACACACACACGCACACACACACGCACACACGCACACACGCACACACGCACACACGCACACACGCACACACGCACACACGCACACACGCACACACGCACACACGCACACACGCACACACGCACACACGCACACACGCACACACGCACACACGCACACACGCACACACACACACACGCACACACACACACACACACACGCACACGCACACGCACACACGCACACACGCACACACGCACACACGCACACACGCACACACGCACACACGCACACACGCACACACGCACACACGCACACACGCACACACACACGCACACACGCACACGCACACACTACCACGACAGTGAAATCTGCCGCCAATAAAAGCTACCGCCCGTTGTACGGTTGCCTACAATGCGGACACACAGGAGGGTCGCAAAGGGGTCCCATCCCCCAATGCATGGGGGCGGGTACTGGTCCTCCCATCCTTGGGGCAGGGGCAACCATCCCCCAGGGGCAACCATCCCCCATTCTAGGGCTGGTGCTAATCCCATCGACCTCCGACAGGGTCCCCATCCCCATCCTGCAGCTGGGCCCCCCAGTCCTCATCCTGTCAGCCGGGGTCCCATCCCCATCCCTTGAGCTGGTGCCACAACCCTCATGCTGAGATGCCTGCCAGCTGCAAACCTAATCCTGTAACAGGTCTCATCCTTCCTGTCCTCCTTTTATCGGTTGTAACTCTTAACCAAGCTGGGCTGGCCAGAAAGTACGAAAAATGGAGTCCCGTACATTACACATAGAACACCTGTAAGAAAGTCGCAGGGGGATTGATTGCACACATGCACAGCAACTGTACGATTTTCATGGCAGTTGTGCGCCACTGTACGGCAGCTTGACTGCTTGACCTCCCACATTATTTCAGCCCTAAAGTGAGTTTCCAAGCAGCCACCAACAGGGGGCCACACCACCCACATTCAGATGCATATGTTAGTGCGAGCAGCATTTGGCAAACTTGCTCACACGCACTGCTGAGACCGTGTTTACTTGGCTTGCCAAGAACCAAGTACCAGCAGGAGGCACCATGATCCAAATTGGGACACGTGCACCCTTACACAGTCAAACGCATGCATGATAGCAAAATTAATGCGATCATGCACTAAAACAGACCGTTCGTATGTACAACAGGCATCCCTCTCTGCCCAGTCCATGTTGCAGAGTCGCAAGCAGAGGTGACCAGCTGGTGCGAACCGCCTCCGGGCGTAAGGTTTGGACAAGATGCGAGAGACTTTTTTGTGCAAACTCTTTGAGAAGGGTCCAACCGCGTGTTTGAAACTCCGTTATACCAGCTGGGCACACTTAGACACCAAAATACCCGTATTCGAATTTTGTCCGAATTGCAAACAGTACGTGCTGTGTAATGATCCAGCCAAGGAATCGCGCGATCGGCTGGAGAGCGTTGCGGCACCATATGTTGTGCTGTCCGCTAAGGTCGTGCGAACGAAAGTGAACGATTCGCAGCAGGCAGGCAAAGTCAGGGCACAAGGAGTTGTCGTTGTCGCTTTTTGCGTTAATCAAGATGCGTGAAACGCGAACATAACCCGACCCGAGGCCTTTTTTTGCAGCCGTAAAACCACTGAGCGATTAAAGAACAGCGTGGCTACGGTCCACCGTTGGCGGAGGCAACACTGGGTTCGTGGTTGACTCCTCGTTTTCCATCGGCTCCCCTCGCGAGCTTCCCGGGGCTACGATGTGTGCGGGCAATTTCCGATAGGCGTCCGTGTTCTTTTTTGCGGTCGCCATTGTAACGCGGCCGTTTGCCGCATTGGTGGCCTTTGCCAAAGGGCTGCTGCCCGCAATGATAGCATTCAATATTTTGTCTTTTGCTAATTCACGCATCCAGGTCGGTTTCATCTCGAAGATGCCGCCGCGGCCGCGGCCGCTGCAGCTGCTACGCGAGAAGCTTTGTGGTTGAGGCAGTTGTTCCTGGAGCTGGGGGTTGACGCTAACTGCGTCAGCATAGCGTGCGATAATAAGGCAGCTATTTCTCTTATCGAGAATCCTGGTTCTTCGGTACGAACCAAGCACATAGATGTCGCTCACCACTTCGTGCGAGAGCGAGTTGAGCGAAGCAAGGTTTGTTTTCGTTATTGTGGTACAGCTGATATGGTCGCTGATTGCATGACGAAACCGTTGAGTCATGCAATGTTCAAACGATTTCGTTTGGCTATGGGAGTGCGATAGTCGAACAGGCTTGCAAATTGCCCGCGTGGGAGTGTTGAGGAAATGTTGTCCGGTCAGTCTGTCGCCTGGTGCTTGCGTGATAGTTGGTTTCTGGATGGGTTCGGAGCCATCTTCCGTACTTGCTGATCGACTGTCGAACTCGTCAATAAATAGAAATGAGCGAGTGTATATCTTTGGTCTGGTGTGCTTGTAGAGTAGTGAGCTGTGGCTGAGCTGAGCCGTTATTTGCTTTTGTAACGCTCTGGCAATCACTATTGCATCCGATCCACTTTAACAATGTAACTGCGGTTTTACATGCGGCAACGTCACCTAGCGCCAACAAACTGTCTCTAAAGCAGATCAAAAAGCTGCAGAAACATGGAGCGCCTTGTTACGCTGCTGCCTTATTAACAAGCGACGATATTGCCCAGCTAAACGCCATGGACGCCACATCGGCGGCCGCATCCGACCCTTCCCTGGTGTCGCCAGAAAAACTGGAGGACTTGCTGGACGAACCTATATAAGGAGGTTTTTGAGCCCTTAACGGGACTGGGGCCTGATCTCGGCACTGGCTACATCATCGGGCTAGAACCTGGCAAAAAGCCACCGTACTCCCGGCCGTACCGGCTTTCACATCTGGAACAAACGGAGTTGAAAAAGCAGCTCGCTGACCTACTGGCCAAAGGCTTCATCAAAGAATCGAAATCGTCATTCGGCGCGCCCATACTCTACCCATTCGGCGCAAAAGAAGGACCGCTCGCTGCGCATGTGCCTTGACTTCCGCGACCTAAAGAAAATCACTGTGAAAAACAAGTACCCACTTCCGAACATCAAACACCACCAACCTGCTCAACAAACTCTAGGGCGCGAGGATCTTCTCATCCCTAGATTTACAAAGCGGCTACAATCAAATCCGCATTACGGAGGAAGATATCCCCAAAACCAGCTTCATCACACGTGCACCCTTCGGAACGTTCCAGTATAGCTGGCCGCTGGAAAGGCCTCTCGAAAGAAGCTGGTAATCGCGCTTAGCGCGTATTTGTAGAGGTCATGTGTGCCGTACTGTGTACTGGCTACTACACTGTGCTTCGTGTTGACTAAAGGTCATGAACACCATGCGCAAAAAACACATCGACGCTGGTTATTGCGTTGTCTACCTGGACGACCTCCTCATCTTCAGCACCTGTACATGTATGTATGTATGTATGTATGTATGTATGTATGTATGTATGTATGTATGTATGTATGTATGTATGTATGTATGTATGTATGTATGTATGTATGTATGTATGTATGTATGTATGTATGTATGTATGTATGTATGTATGTATGTATGTATGTTCTCATCGCTTTCCCGGGCTTTCAAATAATTGATTAATAGCGGTCGCTGCCGTCGCTCACTGCATTGCCGCCTCGTTGACTTAAAACTCGTTTTGTTGCTTTGTTTTGCAAGAATTTTGGAGCGACTTTGTGCCGGTAGGAATGGTCACGTGTACGACGCTCCGTGTACGACATTGCGTTAAAGTCGGAGAAGCGCATAACGCTGAGAGTAGTCGGCCGCCGCGGCGGCGCTTATCCCCCCTGGACTCCAAAACTAGCATATGCTTGGCCGTGTGTGAGAAGGCCCACGTCATGTCGTACATGCGGTTGGAGCTCGTTTAGGGTGTTGCACACACGGACGAGCCGGTGGTCGGGCTTCACTGCAACAACTAACTAACTAACGAAACCCGCTTATCCCCAGCCGCAGATAAACCCACCACCACCCGCCCAAAACCAAAACCCCCAATCCACCCCTCATGCAAAAAGCTCCGCCTCCTCCTCCGCCTCCTCCTCCACGTCCTCCTCCACGTCCTCCTCCACGTCCTCCACCTCCTTGTATTAGTCCTAGTAGGCTACACATACGGAGCAGTGTTTTTCTTTTCAATTTTGCCGGTGAAATTTCCAGTCCGAACGGAGGAATAGGTTTTTAGTCGCGGGAATATAAGTATTCCGAATCTGTAAGGCGCTGGGGGGGGCTCCGCCCCCCCCAGACCCCCCCCGAAGAGTTACAGTTTACTTCGTGCAAACGCCGTGGGGAATGCCGCAACACGCGCACACCACAATCTCTCAAACACTGATCGAATAGAGTTCGTTCACCATCGTTCGTCTTGCATCATGTTGAAAGATAACACTACACGACTTTCCGGGTTGCAAAAGTAATGATGCATAGCAGCAATGGACCGGAACCACCAAACGCAGCCTGTTTCCTGGACCATCGCGATTGTCTCCATTTGACGAACGTTGATGTTTGGCCCGCTCGCTGTTGACAACCGGAGTGGCGTCATTGTCGTCGGCTGGCTGCAGCATTGCGCCCGCATTCCCTACGACCTCTATACCGTCTTCATTAACGTCGCTAATGGCTTCAGTGATTTTTTATATCTGCTTTAATAACCTAACACGCTTTGGGAGCTTCGGGTCAATGTTTTGCAGCGTTTGGTCCGGTCAGAAACAGTCCGATTCCTCGTTGACTTTCGGGCGTGAGCTTCCTAACAGTATCCATGGCATTAAAGTACTATGATATGGTTAACATGTATGTCTCCTGTGAGATTCTAGCGGCTTTGGCATGGACAGTCCATTTTTGGCTGGAGGAATGAACTTGCACGGTCGGAACGTTATTTATTCTTAACTTTCAGGACCACGAACATTTTTTTATTCCGAATTCGGAATATATTCCGCAAAAAAATAACGCTGATACGGAGGCTACCCGATCGATCCGTAGGTCTGCTGCTCTCTTCCACTGCGATCAGGACCCGAGAGCTGTCCATTTCCCCCCCGCGGTCGGTGGGGTATCGGCTAAGTCAATACACACCCACACCCACACCCCATACACCGTAACATGAACGCTTATGAACGGTCCACGACCCCCCCGGCTTTGACGGCCCCCCCCCGCCGCACTTGTGCGGGCAGTGGAACTGTAACTGTAACTGTGTAATAGGTCGTCAATCCATTCATGCCGTTGGCCCCACCACCACCACCACCACCACCACCACCACGATCACCACCACGACCAAAAACAACAACAGCAACAACCCACAGCCCACAGTGTAACACCCCAACAACAATAGCGGCAACGAAAACAGCAGCAGCAGCAGCAACAGCAACACTGCCATCGACAACAATTACAGGTGCACATCTCTACAGCCACAGAAATCAGTGGTTCGAGGACATCAGAGGTTGTACAACATGTACGACAGTCAAGAAATATCAGAAGAACCTAGTACTGAAAAACGCACCATCATTTCTCATTTTAAACATAACTGACTTCTTTTTGCTGTTCCAGGCTGCCGGCCTGCCGAGCTAACTCCGGGCGGCTAGCAACCGTTCGGGATATGCCCACGACCGGGAAAGGGGCGGGGGGGGGGGGGCCCGGATTGTGTTGTTTGTGATGAACCGTTGCCGCCACAGGGCGGCGCTTCAGCATCTCTTTTTACACACATACACACATACATACAGACGCGCACACATACATACATACATACGAGCTACATGTGCCCTCCTACCACCCGCATATCTATCGCCACAAGCACACAAACCCAAAAAGCCCAGTAATCCCGGCTCCGGGCCCCAAACGGCTCCGGGCTCCGAAACCCACCCACATGAAATCGGCAATCGCCCGTGAGCGCATCAAAGGCAATGCCCACCTCCTCACAAACCCCAACAAACCCCCTACTTACTCTATTACTTCCTACCCGCACAGACAGACAGACAGACACACAAAGACACATACACGCACATGAGCCACACGAAGGCCAACAGACCAACCGCGAACCACACCACCTGTTTATCTGCTTAGTCGTGTATCTATGTATGTATGTTGTTACAGGGTGGTTAACTTCGCCAGCGGCCCCCTTTCCCGGGGCAGTTCCTGCTCTCCCCTGCTAGAGGGGCACCCTAATCCGTCACCCCATCCGACTTCAGAATGTATTCGTTGAGTTCGGCAACTCACCACCAGCATCCAACCAAATCTAGCGGATCAACGGCGCATCAACTGAGTTCCTGGTCAGCTCGCAAGTTGATATTATCACGTCCTACATCGTCCATATGATGGGGGGCCACCTCCCATATCAACATTCCTCAAACACCCGAGGAGCCGGCAGGCGGATTTGAACCCGGGTCGGCCGGGAGCAGAAGTCAGGCCATAACCTCTGCCAGCCGCCTGCCTATGTATGTATGCATTTATGTACGTATGCATGTATGTATGCATAAGTACGTATGTATGTGTAAATAGGAATGCATGTATGTAGATATGCAGACGTATGCATGTATGTCTGTAAGTATGTTGACGAGGTATGTAACCCACCCACCCACCCATCCTATAAGGCTGAGGTTAAAAACCCGCCAGGACCCCCTAACCCCACTCCCCCTTCTTCCCCCCCCCCCCGGGGGGGCCGCATCGCCATGCATCACTGTTAACATGCCCCCGCCGTTGCTGCTGCGGCGGGGCCACCCTAGCTGCTAGTACTGCTAGTACTGCTGCTGCTGCTGCTGCTGCTGCTGCTGCTGCTGCTGCAAGAATGGAAATTGGTTCCCCCCTGAGCCGATTGTCGATAACTATGTTGACGTCAACGATGATAATGGTGCGGCAGCTGCTACTGTTGCAAAGGCTGCTGCAGCGGCGGTGGTTGTGGCAGCGGCGGCTGTAGCACCGGTGGCGGCGCCGCCGGACTCCTGCTTATCTGTGATCCCTCCATCCTAGCTTGCACCGGCTGTTGCACCGGCTGTTGCACGCACTGTAGACGTTGTAGCGGCTGTAGCGAATGCAGCAAGTGAGGGTGCGTGCCCGCCGCCGCGGCGGCCGCCACCGCCGCTACTGCCATCGCCAGCTGCTGCTGCTGCTCCGGCGTCAGCGTCCCGCCGGTCAGCGGACAACCCTCTATGTCCAATGCTAGGGGTGCTGCTGGCTGCGGCTGCTGCTGCTGCTGCCGCTGCTGTGACGGCGGCGGCGGCGGCGGTTGGCCCACCGCGGATGGGACACCCATCGCCACTCCAGGCAGCAACATTGACCCGTGGGTCAATACCGGCAAGCCCCCATGCGTCGGGGAAGTGGCGGCGGCGGTGGTGGCGGTGGTGGCGGCGGCGGCGGCGGCTGCTGCTGCCGGTTCCGAGCCTTGTCCGGATTCCGGTCCTGGTCCTCGAGCAGGCGGAGGGGGAGGGGCAGGGGGAGGCGGGGGGGTTCCCATGAGGAGTTGGGAAGGGGACGCCAGCGGCATGACGGCGGCCAGGTGGCTCGACGGCCGGGATGACGGTGACGTCGCCGCCAGGGCGGCCAGGTGGGATGCAGCTGGGACTGGGACCGTCCCGCGGGTCGTTGCGGCGCGGTCGTCGTCGCCGCCGCCGCCGTCGCCGTCGCAGGCGTGGTCGCCTATCATAGCCGCCGCTAAATCCAGCGTGAAGCCCTGCTGGGCCGGGTGAGGCTGTAGCTGGACTTGGCTCCCTTCATCGGCTGTAGCTGAAGTAGCCATGAAGGCGTCACATGGGCCAGATCGTACAACCGCTGAGGCTGCGCAGCCACCTGGCGGCGGCGGCGGCAGCGGCAGCGCCGCCGCCATAGGAAGCGGCAGCAGCGGCGTCCGCCCGTCCGCGGGTTGCAGAGAAAATGTCAGAGGCAGAGACAGAGGGACCATAGGGCCCGTAAAGCCCGCCTCATGTGCGTGCATGTGTACGTGTGCGTGGGGATGTGTGTGTATGTGTGGCCCCAGCTGTAACCCCGCCAGAAGCCCCAGGGGCCCCCCGGCGCCGCCATCTACATGGCCGGCTGCCGCCGCCGCTGCTACTGCCGCTGCCGCCGCCGCCAGTTGCGCCTGGGCCTGCACCTGGGCTTCCTGGGCTGCCCTGGCGGCCTGAGCTGCCTGTGCTGCTTGAAGCTGTAGCTGCTGCTCTAGCAGATCTTGATGTAGCTGCTGCTGCTGCTGCTGCAGGTGCGGGTGTTGCAGGTGCGGGTGTTGTCGGAGCAGCCCCGGCGGGCCCCCACCCCCCCCCTCATCCTCCCCCCGCACCACATCATTCCCCTCCTGCTGACGGACAGACGGACAGACGGACAGCACCCCCTCGCCACCACCACCAACATCAACACCACCCTTCGCCTGGCCCGTCTGCTGCTGCTGCGGCGGCGGCTGGTTGTGCTTAAACTGTAAAGCCGCCGCCGCCGCCGCAGCAGCAGCAGCAGCAGCAGCCGGCGACGCTGCTCCTCCCCCTCCCCCTCCCCCTCCCCCTCCTCCTCCTCCTGCTCCACCACTGCCCGAGTG